GTTTTTTGGGTTCATTGAGAACATGGTTGTTGTTCAATAATAAAATTATTCCTCAAAAAAACAAATTGCCTAATAATTCTGCACTCCCTGTATAGCGCTTCGCTCAATCTTTCACCAGACGATCCCACTGAACCCTGTCCTGTTCGTTTTGGGTCTATCTATAGAAGAGCTTTCTCTGTCTTCTGTACAAATGCTTTTGTTATGTAAACTTTTACATTTAGTGAGACGATGTGTACTGTTTCAATGGATTCAGAGACAGCACCCCACTGTTACACAGTGGTACAGAGAAACGTTCAAGGTGCTGCCAATGGAGCGCCTTAGTGCCATCATAAAGGGCAATTGTGATGCATTCTGTAGGATATGGCAGCCTTTGCTTGATCACCTACCACGTGACCTTGCTGTGCTATTGCATAAAGGGAGACCACATTTTGTTTTTAAACATAATAATTAATATCCCTCTTTTTTTCTCCCTTTTTTTCTTCTTTCTCTTGACCTTAAATGTGGAACACTGTACATATTTTGACCCAGACATGTACACTTGTAACTCATGTACCTGTATTTGTTTTTTTTTCTTCTTCTTCTTCTTGTTTGTATTTGGCTGTGCTGATTTGTTGCTGTTTGTATTGTTCCAAAAAAAAAATCAATGAATCATTGTGTAAAAAAAAGAAAAAAGATTGAGCTCTCTGGCATACCTGAAACCTCAGTGAAGCTGCTGAATATCAGCATTTCAGATTATTTTAAACGACACTTACTATTGTGTTTATTGTGTGAGTGTAGAAAACTCCTATGCACTTCTTGGTAATTTCACTTTCCAACTCATGGTGAAAAGAGAAATTACATTTTATTAATTCTGTTTATGATTGTTGACTATAAATAATACATTTTATGGTAGGAGCCAGGGACCATATAAAATCTGACCTAGGGCCATGATTGGCCCCCTGGCTGGACTATGGGCACGCCTGCCATAGAATCTCATGTTAAAATCCCCATCTTTACAATATCAGAAGAATGGAGCCACACTTTCAGTTTTGGGGTTTGGAATTGGAAAACCCACAGGACCTAAGCCCTGTTGTTTTCAACCACCTTTGGATGTGTTGGGGACTTGGGGACTTCTAATCTATATGCTGGACAAATTTTCCTGCACACTGCCACTCATTTGTGCCTCTTAGAGTATGATGTCCCAGCTTGCGTTTTACATCCTGTTACTCTGTATTGGACAGTCCCAGGGTTATTTTGCAACTTGGGTACAGATATACTAACACATATTTTGTTAACTTGTCTGAACTTAGATTATTCCCAATTTTTTTCAACAGTATTAAAAAAGTGGAAAACTTTATAAATTCAATTAATATTTATTCCAAGTTTTGAATAAATGACCTTGAATAAAAATGGCATTCAATTCATATTTCATAATAATGAATAATATTCCTGTCTGGTCATATTTACTCATAGAATCTTGGAGCTTTTAATAACTGCTGCCTGTTGTCTAAACTGTGGTATTTTAATTCTAGAGTATACAAACTTGATAAGACAACGCTGTTTTTAGGATCAAGTCATAAATATGGGTGTAAGGACTTGTTGGAATTTAAACCCTGCAGTTCAGTCACCTTCTGTGGGCTTATTGGTCACGAGTTCCTGTAGAAATAAGTCCTTTCATTTATGCCCTGCCCCCTTCTCACTTCTTTACAGTCAGTGTCTCTAGCAGGTGATCTGTAAATCTGGTGGCACCTCCTGTGTGCTTCCTGTGAAAAAGATCTCTGCTGGTTATTTGAACACTGGCAGAGACTTGTTGAACACTCAGCTAGACAGATATAGCAGCAGCTGGAGAAACAGTATCCTAAACGGGCACCACAGTATTCAGACTTTTAGACTTCTCTGCTGTACCATTGCTCTTCAAGATCTTTCTGGATAAAAAGACCAACAGGACAAAATGGAGATTACACTTGAAAATGACAAAAACAGCTCCTCAAACTTTGAGTACAAGGGTGCTCACCAGGCATTCAGGGACCGCTGGAAAGGGACAGATGACACCATGTGTCGCCACAGCATGTCCTTTCACCTACACCACACACTGAGGAGTGAGTTCTTTGCCAGCTACCTGTACCTGCTAGAGAAGGTTCCACTGGGTAAGATGGGTCATAGAAATGTACTAAAATTTTTTCTTGAATGTTGATTTCATGACAGGTGTGATGTGTTCTTCTCTTCTTTTCCTACCCATGTTTTGCCAAAGTCAGGTTGCTGAAATAGCTAAAATAACAAAAGGTTGTTCTTACTGCACCTCAGGGCACATTATAGACTCCTTCGGATAATGCTGATCCTTATTCTTAGAGGGTATCTAGACGGTTACTCGTAAATATTGATTTGTATGATTTTAAATCCTGTATCACCACCACTGCACTTACCTAGAATGCCAGGATTTACCTCTAACTATGGCTTGTTCTCAGATTTAGTTAACTTATGTCTTTCCAATGGTTCAATGGTAACTTTATTGCCCCAATGGGAAATTGATTTGCAGTATGTCCATACACACACACACACACACACACACACACACACACACACAC